ATGAGAGGAGCCCCGAAGAAAAGATACAAGGACTCCCTGAAACAACATCTCAGCCTTGGCCATATTGATCACCATAATTGGTCTACTCTGGCCTCAAATTGGGAGGCCTGGAGACACACCATCTATAACGCAGCTGTCTCCTTCGAGAACACACGCAGGATCACTCTCGAGGAGAAAAGGTAACGCAGAAAGAAGCGTGTATTGCAGAATACACCATCTAAGGAGTCTTTCTGTTGTGCCTTTTGCAATCGGATATGTCTGTCACGTATTGGCCTCATAAGCCACCAGCATGCCTGTGGATAGAGCCTTCCCAAATCTTCGTTCGCGAAGCCCAGCCATGATGATGATGATGATGATTGCTCCATAAACAGCATATACATTTCTGTAATTCTCAAAGTACGCATAAATGAAAATATGAGCTGACACTGTCCTTTATCCTATCTAGACCCTTATATTATATACATTAAGCCCTGAAGAGAAGAACTCAGGGATACTGGTGGATAAAAAATTGGACAGGAGCCAGCAATGTGCACTTGCAGCCCAGAAAGACAACCCTATCCTGCATCCCCACCAACATGAGCTGCAGGTGGAGGGTAGTGATTCTGCCCCTCTACCCTGCTCTGGTGAGACTCTGCAGTACCACATCCAGCTCTAGGGCCCCCAGGATGAGAAGGGCATGGACCTGCTGGAACGAGTCCAGAGAAGGATCATGAAGATGATCAGGGTGCTGGAGCACCTGTCTGATGTAGACAGGCTGAGAGAGTTGGGAGTTGTTCAGCTCAGAGGAGATTCCAGGGAGACCTTATAGCACCTTCCAGTACTTAAAGGGGGCTTACAGGCTTACAAGAAAGATGAGGGCAGATTTTTTAGTGGGGCCTGTAGTGACAGGGCAAGGTGCATCAGTTTTAAACTGAGAGAGTATTTTGAGATTGTACATAAGGAAGAAATTTTTTACAATATGGGTGGTCAGGCACTAGAACAGGTTGCCAAGAGAAGCAGTGGATGCCCCATCCCTGAAAATGTGCAAGGCCAGATTGGACAGGGCTTTGAGCAGCCTGGTATAGCAGAAGGAGTCCCTGTCCACAGCAAGAGAATCAGACTAGATGATCTTTCAAGATCTGTTCCAACACAAGCCATTTTATGATTCAATGATTCTATGATTATGTTATTCTTTGTATTAATCCTTTATCTGAGCTCGCTGGGGACTGTTCTACCACTGGTGCAACAGTGTCCAGACTAAAGTATCTTCTGATCACAGTGCTTGTTACCCTCACTCCCAGCTTTCACTGGATGGGGAAGGCCACAGCATGTTGTTTAATCACGATACCCCTAATTGGGTGAGATGTCAGAAGTCACATCTGCCTCATACACTGTCTCCAAGTCCTATCTACCTTCATATGGATGAGATAGCACTAATATTGCCTCATCTTAGTCTTCATGCACAAGAAATGTTACCCTTCTAGCTTATTCTTTACTATGACTCGCTGCTTTCTGCTTCATTGTCCAAATTAGTAAAACAAGGATGAATTAGAGTTAATTGAAGTCTCAACTTCTGCAATTGTAACTTAGTGTTATAGGTTAATAATAGCTGATCTCTCAGAAAAGCCCAGCTTCTAGGATACCCACACCCTTACACAAAATTGGACTGACAAGCCAAGACAAAAAATTTCCAAGCCTCCTGATGTCTCCATGACTAATGTTACTGCTGTTGTTGAAAGATCAGGGGCAAAGTGAGTAAAAAATATAAATTATATTTATGCCTTTTATCCACATCTTGTTTGTTTTCTCTTTAATGTGCATTGTATTAATGAGGAGGATAATCGTTATTTAATGTCCTCTTCCAAAAAAGGCACTCAAGCAAGGCACACGAGGGCTTGAAATAATTAGGACGATATAATTGGGTACATTATAGAGGGCATGAAATTAACTGTAGTTAAATTAACTCTTCTTTCTCATATGAGCATAAAGGAGAAATTGCCGAGAACACAACTTTTTCATACTAATTAGAAGCAGAGTCACGCAGTATTTTATCTGTCTGAGTTTTAACTCTGAATCACAGTTGTGCTTGTACATTTTTTCGTTGTGCACCACCTCTAATTGTGGTCAGCCTTTGTTTCAATCTGCTGGACTCTCTTCTGCCTTTAGGCAGTACTGAAATTAAAGCTTGCTGTGTGGTACTATAATCCCATTTAGGTCAACAACTGGATAGAAGTCTTCCAAGAACATTTAAATATGTCACTGATTCATTAGACCAGGACTAGATCAATGTCCCTGGTTCATGAGAGGGAATGTCAGTGACCTTTATTCACAGTAGCAACACCGATCTTTGATCTTGTTAGTTCACTGCTTTCCCACCACAGACCTGCCCAGCCATCCTGGGATGTGTCTGACCCTGGTTCCCCTCAATGGACCTGATTCTGACCCCAACATCAGATTGATGTTCTGGTGTGACCTCAGCCTATCTCCATTCCCATGGAGATGCCCAATGCCTGGGGCTGCCTCTGGCTGCCCCCTTGCCTGCCCTGCTCCCTGGTCAAAGGCAGTGGGGTGGGCCCTGGCTTTGAGACCCTTGTGCTGCCAGTCTGCACCAGGAGCCCCATGGCTCCCAAGGAGGACTCAACCCTTACTGCACCTTGACAGCTTCTGTCTGCCAAAGCAGGAGTTTTCATTGAAGGGTAAATACAAGCACACTCACAACAGTTCTGCTCCTTCCAGAAGCCACAGTTCAATATTGTTGAGGCTTGTTCCATCCAAAAAATGTAGATGCAGCTGATGGAAAAAATCACAAATTTGAACTGTTTTCAGCCACAAAAGAAAATGGAAAACCACTGAAAATAGTCAAAGGCTTCTCTCAAATTTTCAGAATGAAATTTACTTCTTTATTTCAGAGACATTTTTACTAAAATTTTTTCTTATTTCTATGACTATTTTTTATTTTTAAAACTTTTCATTTCAAACTTTGACTTATGGATGTCTCTTCCCCCTAAAAGTAATAGCAATAGTTCTCACAAATGCCTGTGCCCAGATGCATGTGGAGTTGAAGCACTACAATTTCTTTTCTGGACAGGAAAGCAGAGCTATGCTGAGCCCAAAACAGTCCTTCGGAGGCTTGAAAGATCTCTAGGAGTTTGGGAAAGCCCCTCTTGTGAAACTAATACTCACAAGATGACGACTTCAACCAGTATTTTGCACTTTTCTACCCTGTGGAATTTCAAACCAGTGAAACGTTATTTTTATTAATGTAAAGGAAACAGCTGGTCTAAACACAGGGTTACATCAAAAGTAACAATTTAAAATTTAAAAGTGAAGGCTAATTTACTGTGCAGATAGGGAGCTGGAAGCAGCTGTTTTGTATGAAAGCACTTATTGCCTCATTTGTAACTAGTCTCATTGAGAACAACAGGCTGTGGTTGTCCAGGAAGGCTCAAAACATAAGCCAGAGCAAACTCCTGAAATCCAGTCGTGCTAGACTTGTCCCTAACCCAAGAGGAATTTAACATTAAGAGATATGGTGGTTTGTAAATAGGCAGAACTGCCTTCAGTGAGGAAACAATCAACATGGTGGAAGTCCAGAATGTTCCATCCTGATGTGATGTGTGTGAGGATGTGAAACAGGGAACCTAGTCTTGTACTCTAGGTCTACCACAAACCTGCTTCATCATCCCAGATGTTTTCCCACACTTCAGAAGAGTAAAGATGCTGTTGACTCCTTCTACCCCTGTACATCCTGGGAAGCATTCACATTCTACAAGACATGGAGATGAGCAGATTTTCTCCCTCTCCCTTTCTCATTTAAAGTTGAATTGTTTTCTCATTCTCTGAACTTTTCTTCCTCATGTTTCTTCTTATTGGACATCCTCAAAAACAGCTGTACTGAATGGAGGAAGAAGGAAGAAAGGAGGAAAGGAAATGAACAATTTGTTAGCTTCAGTTTGCTTTTCAAAATTGTAATTGTGCAAATCTGTCTTAGTACCCAGTACTGCAAAGGGAT